ATATATAAATATATATTATATGTTTTGATAATTCACAATTAAGACAATTTATTGTGCCCTCATTTTATGGATTGTAAGTGAATTAGAAGACTACAATAATCCAATGAAAATTTATAAGGAATGCACCATGGTCCAGTACAGATTATAAAAACAAAATGTAGCAAACAATGAACTGTTTCTATCTTTTTTTTGGTCTTTTTGAGACAAGGTCTCCCTGTAGCCCCAGCTGTCCTGGAACTCACTATGTAGGCCAGGCTGGTCTTGAACTCACAGAGATCTGCCTGCCTTTGCCTCCCGAGTGCTGGGATTAAAGGCAAAAGTAATGAAAACTTGGTACAGAGGGGGGGAAAAAAAAACCATGATCAATTATAGTCAACTTTTGAAAGCAGTTCTTTGAGGAAAGCGGTTACTCTTCCTAATGAGAGAGCCTCGACAGGGATAATGTGCTGACATCTAAGGAAAGGGGACAGCTGACATGTGCCAACTTCAGTTTTATTATGGAGATCTGGGTTAGAAAATAGAGTACAGAGGAAGAATATTATGGCTCTGTCCCCTTCCATTTCTAAATCCCAGCTTGTCAAAAGACAGAGAGATGAAATGGCGAAGTCAACACTAATTAAGATTTAAGAGTGTCACCTGGGCACTTGTGCACTTTTCCTGTGTCTACTTTTTAAAGTACCATTAAGAAAGCCAATTTTCCTAAATCAATGCAGTGTGTTAAGTGCAAGTCAAATCTAAATAATCTTCCAAAGGAAGATTCCAGGAACTGTCTCTAACTTAATATCCAAACAACACTGGGGGGAGCTCTTGGCTAAGGAGAATCGTAAGATTGGCTTCTTACTTTCTACTAGGAAACAAACGTACATATTTTGTCTGTTCCTAGGTTTCTTGCTTAAGATTTTGCAATAGTCTTTAGTGGAAAAAAGAAGTCTTTATAGTCTGATATGGTGGTGCACACCTGTAATCCCATAAAAGTTGTTTAGTATTAGAAGCAATTAAGATCTGATGGTTCTTTTAATTAAAAAATGAGGGGCTGGGAACACAGCTCAGCAGGCAGACAGATTGCCTATGATTAATGAAGCCCTAGGTTCCACACCTATCAACCAGATGTGGTGGTGTATTCCTATAATATCAACACTTGAGAGATAGAGGCAGGAGGATCAGAAGTTCCAGGATAGACTGGTATACATAGTGAATTCCAGACCTGTTTGAAAAACAAAACAAAACCCCCCAAAGAAATAGCCACAAACCATCCTTATTAATCCCATCCTCAAGCTAAATTAAAAGCAACTGTGCAGGTAACAGCACAGGAAAAAGCAGTTTCATTACATAATGACAGTGTTGGGATACGACAAGGCTAGATATCGAGGAGGCAGACAGCATCTGCTGCTACCAGTAGTTTATGCAAGGATACGTGAAGGTCCTTTCTTTGATCATTCTGAAGTAGATGGTGCAGTATATTTTCATATCTCCACAATCTTCTTTAAGTTTACAGCCATACTATAAATTAAGTACAAAGTGTAAATCACCTTTAAGTTATTCTTATGTTTAATTACAAGAAAAGAAATAAAATAACTTCTAGTGTAATATACATTTGTATTCCTACCAGGTCATCCCAGTGCCGCTGGAAATCTTCAAATGAATGAAATGGACAGTCAGGGGATGTGGTATGAAGAATATCTATTATCTGTCCCATTTTCATACTATAAAAAATGAGATATAACAAAATATCATAAGTCAAAGCTTAAATACAGTTTAAAAAGTTATTTGAGAAGTAACTGTAGCTTAGAAAATACTCAACTACATCTCTATCCATTTATAAATAGTCACTTGCTCCTAGTTCCAAACACAGTTGCACTAAATCTTTTGTCTGGACATGTAAAATTTGTACATATTTATCATGTATGATAAGATGGTTTGAAATATAAGTTGTGGAATGCCTTAATCAAGCTAATTAATATTTGTATTACCTCACATATGTACATGTTTTGTGGTGAAAATACTTGAAATCCATTTTTAGTGAACATAGTATTTCAAGAACATAGTATGTTGTTAACTACAGCCAGTGCATGGTACAGCAGATGTTTCTAATTCTTTAATTTTTATTCTTCCTATCTGATTTTGTATCATCTAGTCAACATCTAGTTCACCCCATCGACACAAATCCACCCCTGGTAACTCTCCATTTTACTCTGTTTTGATGAGTTCAACTTTTTAGATTCTATATATGAGATCATATAGTATTTGTCTAGCTTATTTTACTTAACATCCTTCAGGCTCATCACCCACATTGTCACAAATGACAGGATTTCCTTCCTTGTTAAGGTGGAGCTGCGCTCTGTTGTGTATACATAACATATCCTTAGCCATTCCACCACTGATGGACACAGGTTTTATTGACATCTCAGCTATTGTGAATAATGCTACCATGACTATGAGAGTGTAGCTATCTCTTTGACATACTGATTTTATTTCCTTTGGACGTATATCTAGTAGGACTGCAGAATCATATGGTAGTTCTATTTTTTTATGCACTTCCATAGTTTTCTACAATGACTGCACTAGTTCCCTTTACTTTGCATGTGATGCAACAATTTTTTTCTTCCTAAAATTTTTTGAGGATTTAATATACATGAATATACTGTATTTGCATCCTTGCCACCCCTCTCTCCCTTCAACTCCTCCCATGATCCCCAACCACCCCTTCTTGAATTCATGACCTTTCCATATACATATGATTTCCATTTGTTTAGGGCTGACCCCTTAAGATTGGGGTCTCACTCCTGAAAAAATGGTTCTCCCCCCTTTAGCAGCTATTGGCTGCCCGTAGGTTTTCATCTAATGGTGGGGCCTTGTGAAATTGTCCTCCATCCATGTTGCTGTGCCAGTTGGTGTGACCTTTTGCAGATAATGTGCAGAAGTCACACTGTTGAGAGTTCATGGAAACAGCATTCTTGTCCTGTCCAGAGGAAACTGTTAAGGTTCTCAGAGTCTTAGAATCTTTCCACCCTTCTCTACCACAATGTTCTCTGAGCCTTAGGTGTAGGGACTGTGTTATAGATGTTCCACTTCGGGTTGGACACCTCGTGGTCGCCTTTTCTTTGCATTCTGACCATTTGTGGATCTTAATAGTCTGGTGCAAAAAGAAGTTTCTTTGATGAAATGTGATCACTGCACTTATCTATAGGCCTAAATTGAGTATTTAGAAAGCAATTGGAATCTATATTACTTTAGTAATACGGTAGTAGTAGGTTCTCTTCTAGGGCTTATGATCTCTCCAGCCATGGGTTCTTAGCTAGGTTTACAGTACCAGGCATTGGTTCCTTCCAGTTGAGTTGACTCTAGGTTCAATTAGACAGCTGCTGGTTGACCTCAAGATACAAGTCCCACTATTGCACCATTGGAGATATCTTGCTGATCCCTATTGTTGTTGTGGCTCTTAGGCTTTATAGCCTGGTAGGACTGTTGATAACTTTTCTCAAAATACTTCTAGCATAGCACCTTTGGATACTATGAAAGCTAGCCCTCAGGGAGGAGGCTTCTAGGTCAGTACCAGCTTGATTTCTCCAAGTCCTGTGACCAAGCTGTGTGGTGTCTTAGCACTAGGGTTTTATCTTCAAGTTCTGGGAGACAACAAAGGATAATAGCCTATATTGTTTTGTGGCCTTGGACCCTCCATGACCAATAACTCATAAGGAGGTGTCCCCTGCCTGACACTGGGGTTTTTGTTAAATATGGTTGTGGAGGGGAGCATTATTCCACCATGTAGAGTAACTGCTTTGAAACTATGTATGTATGTATGTATTTTTAAGTAAGCTTATTAAATAATAGGCTTCTATATGGCTTTTCCAAATATCCTAGTGCTATTTAACCCTCCCTGTGGGGGTCTCCTGAGGAGCTTGGCTCTGTCCTGCAGACCGGTCCAGGGAAACCTGCTGTGGGCAAGGTCAGGGAAAGGTGAGTGCACCGTCTGCCTGTTCCGCCCGCCCTCCATGCCAAGGACAATCAGACGTGACAGGGAATCTTGTCAAGCAGGAGTTCGTTTATTACAGGTGTCACAGAGCTTTTAAAGGCATCTGAAAATCCCCCTCCCCCCTGAGGGTGTCCAATCAGTTTAAAGGTCAATGTAGCAGGAAGGCAGCACTTCATGGATCTTAAGGATGATCATGTGCTGATTATGTACTCCTCAGCAGTGCGGAAGTATCCATCAGCCAGTCTGAAGACTTTCAAAACAAGTCAGGCCGGGTCTCTCCCACTTCCTCTCAGCGTCATCTTTGTTGATTTGTTCTGGCCACTTATGAGAGCCCTACACCTCCCTCCCACTTTTTCTGTATTACCCTCCTCTTCTCCCCAGTATACCCCGCCTATTGGAGCCCACTTTCCCCTTTCCCCTTCTTAGCACCCCTGTCCTGCTACACCCCTCTCTAGAGCTCCTTCTCTTCCCCCTCCCCACAGTCCCTTTCTACTTTCCTGGCTTTTAGATTACTCAAGGTTATGCACTCAGACCTAAAGATTCAGAGCTAGAATCTACAAATAAGAGAAAACACAGCATTTGTCTTTGAGGGTCTGGGTTGCCCAACTCAGTATAATAGTTTCCAGTTCCACCAATTTACTTGTAAACTTCATTTTTTTACAGCTGAATAGAATTCCATTGTGTATATTTCATTATTCATCATTTGACTAACATCTAAGCTGTTTCCATTTCCTAGCTATTGTGAATAGAGCAGCAATGAACATGGCTGAGCAAATATTTCTGTAGTAGAATATTAAGTCCTTTGGGTATATGCCAAGAAGTGGTATAGCTGGGCCAAATGGTAGATCTAGTTTTAGCTTTTTTGAGGATTATCCACATTGATTTCCATAGTTATTGTACCAGTTTTCAATTCCAACAGTGGATAAGGGTTCTCATTTTTCCACATCCTCAAGGGCCAGCATTTTTTGTCAGCTGTTCTCTTGATCTTAGCCATTCTGACTGGGGTAAGATGAAATCTCAAAGTAGTTTTAATTTGTATTTCTCTGATTGCCAAGGATGTTGAACACTTTTAAAGATAGTTCTTAGTCATTTTTATTCCTCCTTTTGGGAACTCTCTATTATGATCTAGAGTTTTGTGGGGGTTTTTTGTTGTTGTTTTTTGTTTTTTAAATCTTTTTGAAACAGGGTCTCCCTGTAGCCCCAGCTGGCCTAGAACTCAGTATGTAGAAGAGGCTGGCATCAGACTCGCAAGAGATCCACCTGCCTCTGCCTCCTGAGTGCTGTGATTAAAGGCATGAGTCACCATGCCCGGCTAGAGCTCATTTTTTACTGGGGTCTTTGTTTTCTTGGTTCTTTGGTTTTTAATTTCTTTGTATATTCTGGATATTAATCCTCCAGCAGATGTATAGCTACAAAAGATTGTCTCCCACTTTATGTAATTCATCTCCACTGTTCCCTTTTTGAATAGAAGCTTTTTAGTTTTATGGGGTCCTGTTTGTCAGTTGTTGGGACTAATTCCTGAACAAATGAAGTCCTATTCAGAAAGTCCTTTCCTGCTCCTGTATCTTGTATAATACTGCCTATGCTTTCAGCAATTTCAGCATTTCAAGTTTCACACTGAGGTTTTTGATCTAATTGAGTTCTTTCTTCCAGTGTGTTTTTGGCATTGTTGCCAAATAACAGGAGGCTGTAATTACATGTACTTAAGAATGGGTCTTCTCGTCTGAGCCACTGATCTGATCTACATGTCTAGGTTTGTGCCAGTTCCACATTGGTTTTATTATTATGGCCCCATAATATAACTTGAAATCTGATATGGTCATCACTCCCAACATTATTTTTTGTTCAAGAATGTTGCTGTTCGGGGTCTTTTGTGCTTCTATATGAAATTTAGGATTTTTTCTATTTCTGTGAGCTTTGACTCCTTCGTGTGCATCTCTCTGGTCCTCTCTTCGTCTGTCCACCATGGGATGATGCAACAAGAAAGCTCCCATTGGATGTGGCACTTTGACCTCAGATTTCCCAGCCTCCAGACCTATATGAGAAGTAGGTATGCATCATTTCTAAATTACCCAGTTTCAGGTATTCTATTATAGAAGCCTAAAATGTTCTAAGATAAACATGGTTTAGAAGAATTCTCTCCCACATCATCATTGTCATCATTTTTTTGAATATTACCTTTGCTGTGCAGAAGCTTTTCAATTTGTTGTAGACCAATTATTGGTCCATTTCTACTTTTGCTGTACAGTTTTCTGTATCATAGTTAAACAAATCACCACCAGATCAATATCATGAAGTTTTCCCATGTAGAATTCCAATTGTTGGATTTTTTAATATTTTGTGAGATAAGGGTCTAATTTAATTTTTCTGCATGTGGACACACAGTTTTACCAGCATCATTTTTTGAAAAGAGCATATTTTTCTCCATCTTGTCTCCATGGCACCTTTGTTGAAAATCAAAAGCATGGATTTGTAGACACTCTGTTCTGTTGGTTTATATGCATGCTTATATGCCAGTACTGTATTTTTTAAGTAGCACAACTTTGTAGGATTCTTTGAAATCAGATTGTGCTACCCCCAAGATTGCTTTAGCTCCTTGGGCCTTTTATTTCTATATAAATTTAAATTTTTATTTTTCCCCATTTTTTAAAGAATGGCATAATATTTTGGTAGAGATTAAATTAAATCTATAGATTGCTTTTGGTATTATGGACTTTTTTTATCTTTTTAAAAATTTGTTTTTATTGAATTTTTGTGTATTTCATACAGAACATCTCAATCAATCTTAATCATCTTTAGACCGGTCCGCACTGGCATCCTCCCATAGCACCCCCCCACTGGAATTCACATATTCTGTCATTTGTGTTAAGGCCTATTTTGTCAAGTGAGTGTCCCCAGACATTCCTCAATGCAATTTTATCTACTGAGGTGTACATTTTACCAATTCTAATTCTTCTACTCCAAGAATGAGTTATTTTCCCAATTATTTGTGTCTTCTTCATTCCTTTCAGAAGTGTCTTATATAGTTTTAACTTTCATTTCTTTGATTAGATTAATTACTAGGATTTATTTTTGGTAGATATTTTGAATGAGATTGTTTGATTATTTTCTCCTTCATAGAGTTCATTGTTGGAATATAGAAATGCTGACTTTTAGTTTTTGAGACATTGTCTTGATATGTAGTTGGTCCAGGTTGGTCTTAAACTCACTATCCTCCTACTTCAGCCTCCCACTTTCTGGAGTTACATGTGAGCACTGCTATTCTAAAATGCTATTTATTTTTTTTAATTAATTTATTTTTATTTTATGTGTATGAGTGTATTACCTGCATGTATGTGAGTGCACCTGTGTCATGCAATGCCGGCAGAGGTGAGAAGACGGCTTCAGATTCCCCTGGAACTAGAGGTAAGGATGGTTTGCAGCCACCATGTGGGTGCTGGGAATCGAACCCAGGTCCTCTGCAAGAGCAGTCAGTGCTCTTAACTGCTGAGTTATCTCTCTGGCCCTGACCAAAATGCTATGGATTTTTTATGTTGACTCTTCATTGAATTCACTTATTAGTTCTAGGTTTTTGGTGGATCCTTTAGAGTTTCTCTATATGTAGCATCATAGATGCTTTTCCACTTATGGAAAAGTCTTTTCTGCCATTCCAATTATAATGCCTTTTGTCTTTCCCCTAATCACATAGGCAATTATCAGGCAATAATCTTAATACCAGATTTTAAGAGTAAACATTCTTGTCTTCTTCCTGATCTTAAATAAAAAGCTTTCAACTTTTCAACATTGAAAACACTAGCTATGGGTTTGTCATATATGGTCTTTGTCTTAAATTTTTATAATTGAAATTGTTAGGAAAAACTGAGTCAAACTGGTACAATGTGCCAAGTATAAAAACAAAACAAAAGTAAGAAATGTTGCCATCTCAAAGTATGCCTGGTAATAGACTTTAGGAAAAGTCTGCTAAGAGCTGAATGACTCAGCTTCCTTTCTCCTTTCAGTGTTTCGCCATGCTCTTGGTTTTGTGTGCTCTTCGTTAACTCTCTTGAGCAAGTCAACATTTTATCTCAATAATCTTGTTTATATCAGATCTATGTTTTCTGATAATAATACAAACAAACCCAGCTCATATAAATTATAATGAATCATTAGGTACAAATTCATAAATTTTTGGTATTAGGATTGTTGCCATAAATTTTTGGTATTAGGATTGTTGGCATTTTTGAATGCAGATCCAATAAACATTTAAATGTATAATAAATTAATATTTAACAAACTCAGAAACAAAAAGTTATGGCTTCTGCAACTGCAATATTCAAATATTTTAAAATATTTTATTATTTTTGTTTTATGTGTATGAATGTATTGCCTGCATGTATGTAAATGCATCTGTGTCATGCAGTGCCCACAGAGGTCAGAAGAGGGTGTCAGATTTCCCTGGAATTGGAGTTACAGACCATTGTTAGGTACCATGTGGGTGCCGGGATTCAAACTCAGGTCCTTTGCGAGAGTAGCTAATGCTCTTAACTGATAAGCCATCTCTCCAGTCCCGTTCCAATATATTTTAATGTTATAATTCAGTTTTTAAAGTTCAAAGTGGTTTCTCCATTTGCACATAGCAATGTTAATGAAGCAAAATAATCAGACATTACTATATCTTGAACCCACTTGCAATGGCTAATCTTCATTGTCAACTGGATTAGATTCACTGAGGATCTATTGGCAATTCATAACTGCTGGGAGAAGGAGAGTCCATTTTCTTTAAGTGTGTGAAGCCTGGCAGGTTGGCTTGACTCAAGGAATGGACCCACACCCAAGAATACTTGGAGAATATAAAGTAGATTTGATAGGGCTTAAAAAGAAGAAAAATAATAATAGAAGACATGAAGTCGGGGTGAAGTAGTAGTGTGGGGGTGGAGACAGGGGAGGGGATCTGGATATGATCAAAATACATTGTATGAAATTCTCAATGAATCAGTTAAATAGAATTGCTTAAAAGATAGGTGAGGAACAGTTCTAGAAAGGATTAACTGAGGCTGAGGATGAGGGTGGAGACTTACCCTGAATGTGGATGGGACATTTCCATAGTCTGAGGAGCCCACAGGAAAAGATAAAGCTAGTTATGTGCTGATATTGTCCTTTTTTCTGCTTCCTGGCCCACTATGATATAAACTAGGCTGCTCCACTGTGCCTTTACCACCGTGACATACTGAACCTCCTGAAACTGTAACCCTAAACAAATCTTTCCTGCTTTAAGTTGTTTTTATCAGATATTGTGTGGTTACAGTAATACAAAGCTATTATACCACTTTATACATTTCAAACTGAATTCTTACCTTGGCAAAATGTAGCACCAGTTGTTCAAAATGGAATGTTTCTCAATGACAGCATTCTGATTGTTCTGAAAATTCTCTATAACATGCTGACAAATACCAAACTCCTTTAGCTTTAAATTAAAAGATTTCAATGTATAAGTCCTCAAAGAATTTGCCACAGAAAAAGAAATATTAAAACAATATACACAAAGTATTTTTAATGATTCAAATTTTACTGAATCATGTATAACCCACTTTCTATAACCTAATCAGTATTTCAACACATCCTTTCTTCTGCACAATGTGCCAAACAAGTTATGCTTTCCCTTTTATCCTACAAGTCCAAACTCCCATTTCCCACTTATTTCAACCAATTTTATGTTAATTTGTAGATGTTAAATCTTCCCTAAAGGAAAGTATTTATATTTTGTGTGTATGTACATGTTCATGTATGTGCATGTACATGTGGAGGTCAAGAGAGCAACTTCAGATGTCATTCTGCAAGAACACAGAACACCTTTTACTGGGACAGGTTCTCTCACTGGCCTGGAAGTCTCTAAATATGATAGGCTGGTTGGCCAGCAAGGCCCAGGAATCTGCTTATCTCTGTCTCTCCAGTGCTGAGATTACATGGACACCACAGCACTTTTTGTTTGTTTTTGTTTTGTTTTACATGGGTTCTGGGGACTGAATTTAGGTAAGCACTTAACCAGACCAAGTATCAACCCAGCCCACTAATTTACTTTTTTTTTTTTTTTTTGGTCTAGATAGGGTCTCCCTGGAGCCCCAGCTGGCCTAGAACTCACTATGTAGACTGCCTACCTCTATCTCCTGAGTGCTGGGATTAGTGTGCTACCATGCCTGGCTCTAATTTACATTTTTTAAAGAGCAGCTTTTGACAGAGTCAGTGGTGCATTTTCCTTTGATAACACCCATACACTTCCTGGAATGTGTTTTTCATGTTCCTCAAGTAGCTTACCTATATAAGATTTCAGTTTGTATACAACCAATAAGAGTTTACCACTTACAGTGCAGTACCCTGGGATGTCTCCTATGAGGCATTTTCTCAATTTAGTCAGATATAGAGAGGCCTCAAGAAAAGCGAAAAAAAATTAGTGGGTGAATGACTACTATATTAATATTAGAGAGAATGTGTCAAAATTCCTCACCCCTTTAAATACCATAGAAAATTTTGTTAACAAGCTAAACAGCCAGTGTTCTATGGTTGGTCTGCTCTTAGAATGGTCACAATGCAAATGGATTTGAACGAGAATTCAGGAGACACAAACATTCAATCTACACAGGGCAATGCTGATGTCCCTTAAACATTGCTCACATTTTGATTTATCTGACTCCTACTAGTCAAAGCTATATGGACCTAATTTCCTCTAAATCCAGTGGGTGATCATTCTCTGAATTCCTAATAGCATTCCTTAAGAGCAATGGAAATGAGGGAACAAAGAAAAAAAATGTTAGTATGAGAAAAAGTGAGACACAAGAAGTTTAGACTTCTGTGGCCTGTACAAGACCCCAGGTTCCATGCTCAGTACCACAAAGGAAGAAAAAATGGCAAGAGCAATAATATTCAGAATGAATTCAGAACACAGAGTATCCTGTGCACAAGAAGAGATAAATCTTATGATGTGACTTACTGTGCTTGAGAGATGTTACCTGAGCTCTGTGATAAAAATAAAAAAGATGGTGAGAGCAGATTGGCCATGAATGCCTCAGTAGACTGGCTGCAGGGAGAATGGCTAGACTGAAGGAAAACAGAATTCAAAAAAGCAGGCATTAGATTAAAATGTTCAGAGACTTTATAGATGCTCACATATGCCTATTTACACAGCTTAAGTTTGTATCAACAATATAAAGAAACTCAAGTCAGTTGCTGCTGGGATGTTCATAATAGCAGAGCTTAGCTACACCACTAGTCTTTATTAATACAGTTTATTCTGAAAATGGAAAAATTACTCAGCTATTTACCACACATTCCAAGAGAATGCTAACCATTGTATTTCTTCACTTCATAAATATTTTAAAGTATCCTTATGTGACTAAATGCTGATGAGCTGATACTTAAAAAATATTTCTTCTTTCTTGTAGCAGCAATCTAAATAATTTAAACTTAATTTCACTGGCAATGTTGAGGTCCTAGAGATATTTAAGTTGAGAACCTCTGATTTAGAAATAGAAATCTACTGACACTGTGAGGAAGAAGCAGAGGACAAACTAGAAGGGAAGAGACCAGCAACAGGGCCTACATGGAGATTAGTTGAGGGGCTGAGTCAGAAGAACAGGATCTAAGTCACAGCAATGGAAATGGAGACAGACAGGGGTCATTACAGAGACCAAGGCAAGCTACTGACCACAAATTAGAAAATGGAAGTGAAGAAGAGAAAGAACCAAAGTGACACTGAAGCCTCTATGTAGGTGACTTACCAGTAAGCTTTGATGCCAAAGCAGTAAATACAAAGGAGGAATGGATTTGAGCTGGAGAGTGACAAATATATTCACTTTTAGACATCTCTGAGTCTGGGTGTCATCAGTGCATCCATAAGAAAGTGTCCTAGATGACACAGAACTCACAACTATACAAGATTGTGTGAGAAGTATTGGTGTATAGCCTGAGGGTGAGGCTGCTGGGGGAAAAAAGAGGTATGAAAATTCGTGAAGCCTAGAAAACAGCAACATCTGAGTGGTAAGATAGAGAGGAACTGTGAATGAATGGAATTAGACTTTGGAAAAAGCTGTTTCAGAGAAATCAAGAAAAGAGATGATTTTAAGAACAAAACTACAAAACTGTGTGCATATTCCAAAGATTCCAAAGACCATTTCCCTCTGACTTTTCCCTTTCATCTGAAAGTAATACAGCTCTTGTCAAACTCTATACGGCATTGCCAAACAATGTCATTTAACCATTATATTTTTATTCAATTTTACATATATATACATACATGTATGTAATATGTATATGTATAGAGATATGGTATCTAATTCTACCGAAAGGTGCACAAAGTAACCAAGGGAACTAAGGCCAAGCAAAGGAAGAGCGATGAAACTGAAAAAAGAGTGCTGAAGGACAAACTAAATCTTGAATCTCTTACTACCTTTATGACCTACAACAATGATTTAACCTGTGTCTCAATTCACTTACCCATAGCAATAATTATCATTCTGAACTTCTATTATATGCCACATACTATATTAAGTACTTAATGCATGTTATCCCATTAACCTCCTCAGAGCTCCTGTCAGGTAGATACCGTTATCTCCAATTTACACGAAAACTGATATTAAGGGAAATCAAGTAGCATGTCCAAAGTGGAACTGCTATTAAATGCATAATTGAGAATTTTAATGTGATTCTAAGTGTACTTTGAATTTTGGGGGTGTATGAATATTACTGAGTATTTTCCAAATTTTTCATCTTTGTGCTGATTTTTCTTCTAATCTTGATAAAATCTTTGGGAGGAAACACTCTGCACATGTATATAATTATATACAATAAATAACTGTCTCTAGAATAAATGCAAATTTGTTTCCAGGTTCTTATTTCCCAAATTCTCAATATAATTAAAAATTTTAAAACAGTGTAAGTTGGGGCTGGAGAGATGGCTCAGTGGTTAAGAACACTGACTGTTCTTGTAGAAGACCTGGGTTTGAATCCCAGCACCCACATGACAGCTAACAACTGTCTGTAACTCCAGTTCCAGGGGACCCGACAGCCTCTTCTGTCCTCCACAGGCATTGCACGACACAGGTGCACTTACCTACATGCAGGCATAATACTCGTACACATAAAATAAAAATAATAAACAAAACAAAACAAAAAAACAAAATAGTGTAAGTTTACATCGTGCTTTTCTGGAATACATCCCTCATGTAATTGTGCATTCAACTGTAATCTGAATGTATCAACCCATGGCAATTTGTACATATAAATTCCTATCTAAACACATGAATTTTAGGAAACCATTATAGTTGAATACAGTCTAAAATTTGAGAGATGACCATAAAGAATACTTGTGTAAATTTTTAAAAAACGCAAAAATAAGGGCTAACATGCCATTTCTCATAATGAATAATCATGAACTATCTTCAAATTTACCTAAATGAGATCACCACTCATCAAAGAAGCTTCTTTTTGCAACAAATGGAGATTATTACAAAGTTCCACAACTTGTCAAAATACAGTGAATAAGTGACCGTGAGGTGCCAAGTCCTAAGTGATACACCTATAATGCAACCTCTACACCTAGGCTCAGAGAACATTGCAGAAGAGGGGCCAGAAAAATTATGAGTCAGAGGGACAAGACACTTGTTGCTAGTTAATGCATTCTAGACAACATAGGGAAGCTACAGCAATAATTTCCACAGTATGGTAGTATAAAGATCTGCATAACGACAAAAGCAGCTGATATATCAAGGAAGATGGGGGAAATGTCAAAGGATCCCACCTCAAGATGAAGAGCTACAGGCAATCAATGGATGCTGAGGGAGGAAGAATTCATTTTCTCCAGGGACTACCTCTCTGAGATGTAATCCCAAACACAGGTATACAAGAGCACCACAAAATGGACTCAGTGAAATATATATATATGTGTGTGTGTGTGTGTGTGTGTGTGTGTGTGTGTGTGTGTGTGTCAATAATCAAAAAAAGAGGACAAGAAATTGTGAGGGAGTGGGGGCATAAGAGAAATTGGAAGGAGACTGGGAGTAGAAATAATACAATTACAATATTCAAGTAAACAAAAAACAGGTCAAAGATCAAAATTTAGAAAGTGATTCCAATTTCAGTTTTAAGTGAGTAGTTATGAAAGTTTGCTGGTTCAAATAGTTCTATGTCACTCAAGTTTTCATTTCCAAAAATCTTTACTGCAGTAGGTGGCAGGTACTACAAAGCCTGTATGATAGAAAAGTTAGTAAGACACAGACCCTTCCCTCTAAGTATGATATATAGACAGCAGTACACAAAGACAGGTGGGTCTTGGGAGTTGTGAAGTCTTCACAGAAGGTGTTAATGAGCTATGTCTTGAAAGATGAGCCAGAGAAAGGCTCACAGAACAGTCTGAGACAAGACTTCAGAGAATAGAGAATTATCCTGCTTTTGAGAAACAACTGAATTTGGTTACTGTGGAAGAGATGCCAGATATGAGACTACATATAAGGTCAGTTTGGATCAGTTTGGTGAGGGCATAATGCTAAACACTTGAGATTTCATTCTATAGTCAATGGAAAGCATTCCAAATTTTAAACAAGGGGAAGGGAGGTATGCAAGATGAGCTAGATGCAGATATGAGGGCGATCTGGCTATAACATCTGTCACCCCACTAATTATCAGGGTTGATTAGGCTGATCAGACTAGCTAGTCAGTTTCCCCTTCCTCCAGGTGTGTTCCTCCTAATGCTGCAAGCTAGGTAAAAAAGAATGACCTTTCTTGATGGAGAACCTTTCTTCAGTAAAGCATATGTGAGTAGCTATGCTCCCCTGCTAGAGCTTCCAAACAAGCTATGACACTTTGGGATAGGTAATCCTTTGCTGTTGGTAGTGGTGGGGTTTCATTCTGTGCACAGTAGGACATGCAGTAGAACTCCTAGCTTCTGCTTACTAGATACTAGTAGCAAAATCGATCCCTCCCTCCTCACACTATGGTAACCCAAACTGTCTGTAGACAGAGACGTATGTTCATGGAAAGCAAAAACATCCATCTCTCTCTATCACTGAGGAAGCACTGGCATAAAGGAAAGAGAACATGTTCTAAGTGACCTAATATGTAAGGCTCTCTGCTAGAGGCTATAGGAATGAGCTAAATAGAAGACAGGGAGGACAGGGTGATGTATAAAAAATAGATACAAGGAAAGCTTCAAGAATGCCAAAAGCAGAAGGTGGGTATATTTACTATGAGCTGAAACTCTGCTTTTAGTATTGGAGATAAAAAAGCAGTGAGAAAGGAGTGCTGAGGCAGGATAAAGTTGGTGTTTTGAATGCCCTCTAACAGTAGCTTTGAACAGGAATAATATTATAAGACCTATGTTAAGTTTGAACAGAATGGCATGGGAGATCAGGAAGGCATCGCTATGTCAAGCATTTAGTAGCAGACACTTCTTACTATTGTTTTTAGTCGGACATTGTGCCTCCTGTCAATAATCCTAGTACTCAGAAGGCTGAGGGAGGAAGATAGTCAAGAGTTCCAGGCTAGCCTGATAGACAGTGACTTCTACGCTAACCTGAGCTATAAAGTGAGACCCTGTCTCAAAAAACTAAAGACAAAGAAACAAAACTAACAAAACATCCCCATCAGGTCCTTTTTAAAGTTAGTACAAAATAATGGGTTTCAGTTTGACATTTCATATATTTGTGTTTGAACTTTGTTCATAGTTACCCTTCACTATTCTCTCTTGTCTACACTGCACTCCTGCTAGTCCCCTCCCTCTCTCCTCCTTTCTGGTTTCATATATGTAATGTGTGTGTGTGTGTGTGTGTATTCTACATATGTTCCCCTTCCATTTTCATAGATGTATGTTACATGTGCACATATACATTCTACATATAAAAGTTAGTAGCATGGATTTTGATAACCAAACCTTACCATTACATTTCATGTTAAAAATTAAGATCTAATAGCATATTATTAATAATAAATACATTAAGTATATAGTAAATATAATAGCTTATGAAAAGTAAATGTTTTATACCTCAGGTGGTGGCAATCTGATAGTGCAAACTTCTACACTTAAACAAACTTGCGTTTCTGTTACATTGATGTCTAATACTGAAAAAAAATGTAACCATGATTTTTCTAGAATTAATATTCTATCATATCAAATTGGCCATTTTAGTAACACAATTACTTTAAATTAATTGATTCAACTTAGAAATTAAGAACAGTTTTTTACATACATACCAAAGTTCAAATAATTACCCATATGTTTGTCAGTCTACTCTACAGATTACATTTCCAAGACAAAGATATGAAACAACATGGACATGTGCAGGGGAGGGAGGTCATAAAACAGGATTGCAATAAGATAAATAATTCTTTTGGGGTTTAGAGTAAAACTCCATAAATATTTTCTGCAAAACTATGTTATAATAAAATAGAGACAGTCATGTAAACTCTAGAGAAGCCCCTCACCAGGCTTTGGACTCGAAGTCTTTCACTAACACTTCCTCAAATGCACTGGCAGGTACATTCCTAATCTCTTAGAGACCTGAGGTATCTTTCCGACTTTCTCATAAATAAAGCTCCTTCTGCAAGTCAGAGTAATAGAGACCTTGGGAGGGAGAGTATCTGAAGAAGGCATTGGGAGCTTCTGGGATGTTGGTACTTATTTTTGTTTTGTTTTGTTTTAACCTGAGACCAGTGCAAAACTTCAGTGAGCATACACTTACATTTTCTGAGTTTTTTAAAATCAAAAGTAAAAAAAATAACATCTTGAATCTAGCTGTGGTTTCATGCTAGTATTAGTGAAACTAAATTTAGGTAACAAATGCATTCATCCAGAGCATGTTCAGAGTGACTGCCACTGCGCAGCAGAAGCACAACTAGTGCCAGAAGGGCAAACAGGGTTGGCAGGGCAGACTACTCAGCCCTGGTAATTGTGGATCACAGATGAGGATTTGAAACCTATGTCCAAATGGTGGGGAAATCTACCATGACTACTGTGGGCTCAAGATTTGCAACTCATCTGCTCCCTCAGCACTGCTGTCTAGGAACCTAGCTACCTTCAGTGCACATCAATCAAAGAATTAGGTTGGATGTTGTAATAAACTGCATATTTTAGATTATCTATGTCTCTTTAGATTATATTTCCAAGAGAAAAACAATACTCTCATAAAATAAGCTTTGACATGAGTAATAACAACATTTTTATAATATAATTTTGGAAAAGAGATGTTAAAATATTTGCAGAATTAAACTTCTTTACAATAATTTTCTTGAGAAAATTAAAATATCTTTTTCCCCAAATTAGTGAATTTTTTTCTCAAGTAGTTAAATGACTATTTTGAATGAAAACTAAGTTCCTTAGTGAAATTCTGACTAAAATAATGTCTGCTTAGTTTCTGATATATGGTAATCATCAAGATTATAACAACCCAATTATTATAACATTGCTTTTAAAACAACTATTAATCATATTGTGCTATTTATTGTTTTATACATTTTAACTTACCAACAGCACTTTGTTTTCCCATCTGAGAAAGAAAATCTCTTCCTTAAAAAATTGACAGGATATACCATATTATTATAATGCAGAAATGATCATTCTTGATAAATATAATCATTTGAAGTAAAATTATAAAAGCCATGAAAAATGTTTTAAAATGAATTGTGTAACAAATATCTGGTGATAGCTCTGAGAGAAATATGATCACTCAAAAGTATCTCTTCAATTAAAAGGATGAAAATACACAGTTTTTGCTTTAAATATTTATCTTTTGCCATAAAATATTTTGAAAACCATAAGACTTTAACAAAAATTCAAGATGCCCATTTGGTTTCAACAATAGTGACAATTTGTGTTTATCACAACCCCTAATAAAATATTCATTTTTAAGTAATAAGTATTATAATAATAATAAGAATTATAAAGCAGCATCAGTAGGCCTCTGTGTATTACCCCCAAGTAAAGAGATAGCATTAATGTTATTGTGGGTTTGTCTAAAAATATTTAGTTGGAGCTGTTCTAAGAATTTTTCCCTTAAAATTAGATGAAATTGAAATGAGATGAGACTGAAATTAAAAACAGATGTACAAAATAGAAGTAATCTAGTTCAGAAAGTCCAAATATTGGCAAACATAAAGTTACCTTGTACCAAGAGATGACCTGCTCTATTCCAGGCTGGAGCAAGTCTAGCAGTGAGTGAATACGAAAGGCAGGTTTGAAGAACTGCAGGAATTAGTCTTTGTGGAGGCTCCATCTAAAGCATTAAAGGGAAAAATATGGACAAATTAAGAGCAATTGCTATGTATCTATAAACTCAGAAATTGTCTTCAGTTTCAGATCAATATTCAATAGACCAGTCTGTTCTGGATAAAAAGTTATAGTTGTTGCTTGAGGGAGTGCTATTTTTTTCTACAGTTAAAGAAGTATTTGAGAGATAATCACTTTAAAGCTACCACTACTCCTGTAAAGTGCTAAATCTTCTTGCTTATGCTTAAGCCTAAACTCAAGTGCTATACTAATAACCTTTGACTTTGTATCCTGGTCCACACAGAGGGACCCAAGCTAGAATTATCTTAGGATATTTTTCATTTTTGTTCACATTAACATTAGAAATGGTTAAATATGAATGCACTGATTCAACCAGGAGTACCTCTATTTTAGAGAATTAGATTTAGAATTAAGGATTTCACTGCTGACTGCCAAGTCTACAAATAAGATATATTCCCTCACTTGAAATGTTTAAAAAACTGGGCAAGTTATGAACAATGGTTCATAAGATATTGGACATCATGGAACAAAGAAGAGTGATTCTTTAGTGAAGAGAAACCAACAAAATGAGCCCTATCATTTCCCCAGCCTATTGGGTAAAGAGGTTTCCAGACCATGGACATGGAGGAGGCAATCTATAAAGAGCCTGATGGAATCCATGAATTGGAGAGACAGAGCTGAAAGTTCAGGGAAGCTAAGAAGCTAGCTTTCTAGTTTGGCGGGTAAAGTGCTGGAGAGGACAGAGCTTCACACAGAACAAATTCTGGGATCAGCAGAATCCTTCTTGAGTATTCTGTTGAGTAAGGATTGGTAAACATATGTGAGAAACTGCTGAAGGTTAGAATGAGAACCAAGGTTGTTTACTAAGCAAACAACATAGAATATAGTCTAGAAGAAAAGGCTGTCTTTGAATTTGTAAGAAAGACATGCTGAAAAGTGAGAGAGCCAAGTTTCTGAGTATTAACCACCCCTCGTTTTGGCATCATTTTTACTTCTGATGAATGCTTCCAAGACACACTTAAGTGATGTATTAACATGGTATGGGACTAAGGCTATTTAGTTAATCTTATGGAGAATTTAAGCAGGGTACTCTCAGTGTGACTTCAGGCAGCAAGTTGAGTCAGCCTACAATGCTGACTTCAATCATGGTTCCAAGAGCCCAGATCCAAGCAGCTGAACAAATGCCACAAACCATGAGTCTACTATAGAAAGCCAGGGGGCTTCTTCCTTAGTCCTATGTTGGCTTTCAACTCACACTGAGGCACACCTTGGTACACAAACTTGACTTAATGGCCTTAACATATATATATGACAAAATGCATGAAGTCCTGTGTAGAGGCTATGGGTGTGTGTGTGTGTGTGTGTGTGTGTGTGTGTGTGTATGTGTGTGTGTGTGTGTGTAAATAGGGAACGGGAGCTAAATATGATTAAGATATATGAAATAAAAAAATCATTAAAACATATATTAAATATTTGAACCTAAAAAATAAAAAACAAAATTTTTAAAAAGAAAAAAAATACTGGATAGCATCATTTATATGAAATCTCTAAAGTCTAAGACTTGAAAAGACTTCAAGAAGAGACAGATCAATCCACAGTTATACACAGGGATAAACAGAAAATAAGAATGTAGTACAATTAACATTATCAATCAATGTGACCCAATTAGCATTTGTATACTACTGGATACAGTAAGACCAGAATACATGTTCTTGTCAAGGTGACAATGAGCATTTACTAAAAACAGATTCTATTCTGGGCTATAAACAAATCTCAATAAATTTTTAAAAATTAAAGCTTTGAGCAGACCACCAGAGAGTGCCAAGTTCTGGCCTCCCTCTGGCCTCCCTCTGGCAGAGGGCCTGAGAACACAGGGGACTGCCTGAGAGCCCCCAGAACCTGCCTCCACATGGTGGTGAGCTTCCCCTAACTGCACCATACTCATCCCCCTACCTGGGATTTCTTGAGGGCCCTCCCAAGGCCCCAGGGAAGATCTGGCTTTGGAAGGCTAAGGCTGAGATCCTAGCAGACACACTGAGAGGGTTGGTTCCAACCTCCATCAGTGTAGGGGCTCTGATGTCAGCGGGCCTCCAGAGAGTGCCAAGTTCTGGCCTCCCTCTGTCCTCCCTCTGGCAGAGGGCCTGAGAACACAGGGAACTGCGTGAGAGCCCCTGGATCCTGCCTTCACATGGTGAAGGAAGTCTGAGTGTACCTGATTGGAACCTGAATTGGACTTCTGGGGTACTCCTGAATAGCTGATCTGAAGCCATCAGTTCGCTCAAAATTAAACCTGAGAGAACCTAAACCCTGTACCAACCACCTTTACATAACCAATAAAGAAAGGGTCTAGACACCTTGATAATACAAGCAGAAGCATACTTCGACTTATTATATCAGAATCATAAGCAACAAAAGAAATTTACATACCAAAATCACAACCAAAGAATAATGAAATGGAAAGCCAAAACACTATGTCCCCATCAAACTCCACCAATCCTGTAGAAGAGTTCTACAAGGAGAACCCCCTAGAGATAACCCAGGACACAGAATTTAAGAGAACAATCATAAACATGATCAAGGAATTCAACGAATTTAAAGAACACAAACAAGGGGCTGGAGAGGTGGCTCAGCAGTTAAGAGCACTGACTGCTCTTGCAGAGGTCCGGGGTTTGATTCCCAGCAACCACATGGCAGCTATGAACCATCCTTAACTTCAGTTCCAGGGGAATCCGAAGACCTCTTCTCACCTCCGTGGCATTGCATGACACGGGTGCACTCACATATATGAAGGCAATATACTCATACACATAAAATAAAAATAATAAATAAAATATTAAAAAAAAGAGCACAAACAAATCAAAGAACTAAAAGACGATAGGGATAAACTTCTGAATGAATTCACAAAAGAGATAGAAACATTGAAGAAAACCCAGGCAGAATTTAAGAAGGAAGTGCAAAACTCAATAAGCCAACTTGAAACAACAGGGGGGAAGCCTCACTGCTAGAATGAATGAAATGGAAAACAGAGTATCAACACTGGAGGAAAAAGTTGAGGAACTGGACCACTAAAGCAAAGATTATGGAATTTTTTTAAAAAACACAAGAATGGAATATGCAAGAGATGTGGGACACCATGAAAAGACCAAATCTACAGATCATAGGAATAGAGGAAGGAGAAGAATTTCAGGTTAATAGTGCTGACCAGATCCTAAACAGGATTGTAGAAGAGAATTTCCCAAAATTAAAAAAAGACATCCCCATACAAATACAAGAGCAGGAAGCACAGAGAACACCAAATAGACAGGATGAAACTCCCCCACGACATAGCATAGTAAAAACACTTATAACTGTCCAGAACAAAGAGAGAATACTGAAAGAAGCAAAAGAAAATCAAATCGCACACAAAGGAAAGCCTATCAGAATTACAGCTGACTTATCAATGGAAACTATGAAAGCCAGAAGAGCCTGGACCAAGGTATTTCCAGTTGTACATGACAATAGATGCCAGCCCAGAATACTTTACCCAGCAAAAATGTCTATTATAATTGAGGGGGAAAGGAAATTCTTCCATGACATGAATAGCCTGAAAGAATACATGTCCACAAAAACAGCCCTTCAAAGAATATTTGAAGCAATACAGAAAGTGGAGAGAGAACTATACCTTGGGGCAACAAAAGAAAATAAACAAATATATAATCTAGGAAACACAAAATTACACAGAGAACACAAACAGCAATCAAAATGATGGCAATCAATACACATCTTTCAATAATAACCTTAAATATCAATGGCCTGAACTCCCCAGTCAAAAGACACAGGCTGTGAATGGATTAAGAACCAAAATCCATCTCTTTGCTGTCTGCAAGATACCCATCTCACCACCTTCAAGGACAGGCACTACTTTAAGGTAAAAGGATGGAAAAGAATATTGCAAGCAAATGGCACTAAGAAACAAGCAGGGGTTGAAATTCTAGTATCTGACAAAATAGATTTCAAAGTAAAACTAATCAGAAGAGATAAGGAGGTTAACTTCATTCTGATCAAAGGAACAGTTAATGCAAGAACATATTACAATCCTTAACATATATGCACCAAATTCTGGTGCACCCAAATTCACAAAAACAACACTACAGGACTTTAAGACACAGATTAACCCCAACTCAGTAATAGTAGGGGACTTCAATACCTCACTGTCTCCATTAGACAGGTCAAGTGGACAAAGAATAAACAGAGAGATGTCTGAATTAAATTATACCATACATCAAATGGACCTAACAGACATCTTCCAAATATTCCACCCAAGCACTAAATAATACACTTTCTACTCAGCACCTCGTGGAACCTTTTCAAAAATTGACCACATAGTGGGCCACAAAACAAATCTCAACAAATACAAAAAAATTGAAATAATTCTAAGCATTCTATTGGACCACAATACAATAGAGGTCAAAATCAACACTGAACAAAGATCTAGTCACTACATGAATACGTGGCAATTCAACAACACACTGCTAAACAATGAGTGGGTCAAAGGAGAAATTAAGAAAGAAATAAAAGAATTCCTGGAATTCAAAGAAAAGGGCAATATAACATAACACAACCTCTGAGACACTTTAAAAGAAGTCCTAAAAGGGAACTTTATAGCTCTAAGTGCCTACATTAAAAAATCAGAAAGAGCCCAAATAAAGGACCTAACACTGCAGCTCAAGACACTGGAAAGGCAAGAACAAATGAAACCCAAACCCAGCAGAAGAGAAGAAATAACAAAAATCAGAGCAGAAATTAATGAAATAGAAACAAAGAAAACAATACAAACAGTTAATGAATCTAAGAGCTGGTTCTTTGAAAAGCTAAACAAGATAGACAGATCCTTAGCCCAGTCAACCAAAAGAAAGAAAGAACAAATCCCAACCAACAAAATCAGAGATGAAAGGGGAAATATCACAACAGACACCAGAAAGATACAGAACATTATAAGGAATATTTTAAAAACCTATATGCTACTAAATTTGAAAATCTAAAAGAAATGGATGCATATCTAAAGGCATGGGAACCACCAACGTTAAACCAAGAAGAGACCAACAGTTTAAACAGACCCATAACATATAAGGAAATTGAAACAAAGCCTCCCAACTAAAAAAAGCCCAGGCCCAGGTGGATTTACAACAAATTCTACTAGACATTTAAAAAAGACCTCCAACCAATATTACTTAAATTATTCAAAACAATAGAAACAGGGGAAGAACTCTCAAATTCCTTCTATGAAGCCAGCATCACTCTAATACCCAAACCAGGTAAAGACACAGCCAAAAGAGAAAACTATAGGCCCATACCCTCAATGAACATAGATGTAAAAATTCTCAACAGAATACTTGTAAAACGCATACAGACACACATCAAAAAGATCATTTACCATGATCAAGTAGGCTTTATCCCAGAGATGCAGGGATGGTTCCGTATACT